GAAATACAAAATCAACCTTTATTATAATGAATATCACATATACCCAATGCCCAAACTTTTTCAAGCTGTTAAAAGTGAACTTGGTTTGGACATATAAAACATACTCTATTGATTTAACCATATTTACATTGTTTTTTTAGAAAAATGTATACATACTACTTATTTAATAGTCAGTAGAATTTTATTGAATCAGGAATGGGACAGAACACTGTTAAAACTAGGTAAAAATCTATGGCATATATATATATATATATATATATATATATATATATATATTGTATTGATTTTAATTTCACCCCATTATGTAACCTAACAACACTGCATTCTGGTTTCTTTCCTTTCTGACGAAAGAAACTTTTTCTTGAAGGTAATGTGTAGAAATATAACAGAAGGAGGAGAATAAGAAGAAGAAGAGGAACAAGCAATTTAGATTATTACTGAATCAAAAGAATCTTTCATTGGTTGTCTGGCAAAGTTTATTTTTTGCCTTTGTTTGTAACGTTTCTAGGTGTATTTCAGTTCAACGTTTATGTATAATTTTTTTTTAGAGAAATTCATGTTATTTGTTGTGTCAATAAATAAATATAGATATATGTCCAAGTTAAACTTTAAGCACCACTAACTAACTACCAGTGGAGTACGACTGCACCAATGACTTTGAAATACTCCCTAAGAAAGTTAGTGAAATCTGGTACATCATATTGTAATCATGAATTAAATATATTTGTTTGATGAAGTGTTATGTTATTAAATGGGATATCTGACATGTTTCAGGTTAGTTATGGGAAAGATTCTAATGTTACAAATCATGCAGCTGATAACTATCATAACTTTAATACTCTCAATGTTCTAAAATGTCTTAAAACGCTTAAGCCCTCACGTAACCTTGGTCTCCAAAAACGTTGTACCTGTTGCATGGAAAGACATTAAAATAGTCACTTTCCTTAAACATGGCAATAGCAAGAAGGTAAAATTCAGATCCATTACCATCACTTCCCCGTTTCTAAAGCTTATGGAAAAACGAGTACTTCTTAAATCCAGACCCTCCCTTAAAAGCTTTGAAGATCCCCGAACAATTTGCCTATAGACAGGGTAGGAGCACTTTAGACACTGCAACCGTCTTACACAACAGTGTCGTCTCATTATTAGATAAAGGTGCCAAATACGTCCACTGCACGTTCCTCAACTTCACTTCTGCTTTCGACTCTGTACCTAGATGTCTCTTGGTAAATAAGCTCTCTATGACACAAACTGAGTCCTGGGTCAGTAACTGGTTGCATGCCTACTTTTCAAATAGAATGCAGTATACCGTATAAAAAGGCAAATCCTCCTCTGCTGTGCTCACTGAAGCTGGTTTCCCCCAAGGTGCTGTACTCTCGCCACTTCTCTTTTCTCTCTCTCTTTCTACATGACTTACCATCGTCAAATGACATTGATTTTGTCAAATATGCTGATGATCTAACTGTATCTTTGCCTGTCAAATGTCAAAGTGACTGCTCTAAACTAAACGGCTTTTTATCAGAAGTCAGCCAATGGTTCAAGGAAAACGGTCTCACCTTAAATCCCTCCAAATGCCAAACAGTCAATTTCACATTTAGGCATAAATCTGACTGACCTAAACAAACTGGTTAGCACTCACGAGGTGTGCAACATAGATGGCACTGAAATACAAACCAAGTCGGAAATTAAATATCTTGGTGTCATTCTATCTTCTGATCTCTCCTGGTCGTCTCATATCTTGATGATTTCTAAGAAAATATTCCGTCTTACCTTCTACATCAAGAAGTTAAGAGATTCTGGTATAACCCAACCCTTGCTCCTACGATTCATTAACATTTGCATCCTCCCTATTATTCTCTATTGCTCCCCCTTAATTTTTCCAGGGCCACTGAGTAAAGATTATATCTTAATAGGTAGGATGTTAAAGGTTGTCAGCAGGGTAAACCATAGGGTGCCACTTAACCAGCTTGTTAATATTCTGGTCGACAGGCACTTGGACTCATGTCAAAAATGAGCTCAATCCATTCTATCTATCTAACTCACATCACCCTCTTCATTCACAACTCTCCCATTGTATCTCATCAGGCAGGCAGACCAGAAGCCTATATAGAAAATTATATGCGCACACTACCAAGTACAAAAACTCAGCCATAGCCTGCTTAGCTCGTGTTCTGTGTGATAAAGAAAGCATTAGGCGTGATACCTATAGCTTATTAAATAGTCAGTAAAACAACTGGATCTCATCTTTCCAACTCATATCATTTATAGGTACCACGTTTTCTTTCTTTCTTTTCCTTTTCTCTTCTTTTGTTATGTGCTGTTTTGTTTCTTTCTTCATTACAAACTCTATTTAAAACATTCTTGTTCGTTCTTTCACACTCTGTATACCTCGACCATTTTGCTATCGCTTACGCCAGTAAATATGCTAGTAGTATCTACTTTCCTAACACCTTCAGACACTCTGTTCACTTTCGGCTTTCCTACCGACATGCTAATATGTTGTTGTCAAAACGAACCGAGATTACCCTTAATCTATGTAGAATTTTATTTATTGTAAATGTACTAACTGGATGCGATACTGTAGTGAAATGCTGAGAATTCCATTCTCTATCACAAGTACTGTTTTGGAATAAAGCAAATTATTATTATTACAAAGTTAATGGATTATGCTAAGGACAGGTGTTTTTTATTAATTTACGTCCCCAGTGAAACATAGGAGGGCTTCAGACTAGAGGCTTGAAGTTTCGGTAGCAGTGGTGCTTATTTTTACGGGATGGGGTTGCTAGTCAGCCTCATGCCCGACCTTCCCTCTTAACCAGCCTTATTACCGGCTTCGTGAAGTAAAGGAGTGTATAGGTAGTCGGGGATCGAACCCCGGACCACGTGAGGCGAGGTTGGCGAGCATTCTACTGCTGTGCCACCGACGCACTAAGAACAGGCTAGGGTTAGGTTATAACCTAATAAAGGAGATATTAGGGTTGGTTCGAGTTAGGTTAGGATTAGTTTAGGGATATTTGCAAGTTAGGGTTGGGGTTGAGAAACGTTAGGGTAATTGTTAGGCAAAGAATACCACCGTGTTTATGTACACAGAGTGTGGTTAAATCACGTTTTCGATACTCGAATCCAAAACTAAGAGGCAGTTTTGTCAGACGTCAGAGAAAGATATCCGGTGTGACATTTTCACGCCATTTAATTCATTACTTTCATGAACAAATATGTTTTACACGTAAGAACCATCTTTTTCATATGATTGGTGTGTTCAAGGTCATATGTACATATGTATATCTAAGGTATCCTTCTTGATTTACTTGGCTGCGCCACAATTTAACTTCCTGTTTAGCAAAATGAATCAGTAAAATGCACCCTAAACCATATTTGTTTTAATCATCCAATTATTACCTTGAATAGTGAACTACATTCACGCGTGATTATTAAATAAATTTCAACCTACTGATATGAATTTTTTGAGCGAGAGTCAAGGAGAAATATTCCACTTGACTGAAGTGTGCTTTGAACGGAACAACAGAGGTTTCAATGATAATAATATCGAATAATAACCTGAAGATCCTGTACAATTAACAAACAATTTGCAATGAAATAAACTCAGAATTTTGAACTGGAATACAGGTAAGCACCATGTGATACAGTCTCATCAAGTCACTAACAAAATATTGATTTGACATACGACTGTATAAGGCTCATGGTGTACTGAACTGGGTGACCACTGAGTCCAAGGGGAACACACACACCACCTGTTTCGAGTAGTTTTGGAGTTGTGCCTCTAGCTACAGACCATCGCGGGTTAAGCAGGGGTGGAGCAGTTTTCACCTCATCTCGTCTGAAGGAAGCATCTTACTGCGATTATAGCCCCCTACTCACCAGCAGTACAAACGCAGCTCCATTCGCTCAATATAAACAACTTACCCTATGTTGGTGAACAAAGCTTGACAGAAATGAAAGGAAGAAAGGGCGTGCATCAGCATATTTTTTTGATAGAATGACTTTTAGCATTGCCACACTCCACACTCCAAAGTGTGTCGGCCATTCGGCAGTGCACGCTCGTTAACCACCCCTCATACGGCCCGTCGTTCGATCCCCAGCCAAAACACTCCTAAACCTCGCCCGCTAAGCTGGTAGCAAGTCCGGCAAAGAAGGAAAGTTGGGTGTGAAGTTAGAAATCACCCCGCGATAAAGATAAAACCGAAACTTCAAAGCTCTAGCTTAAAGCCCAATGTTCCACTAGGAACCCAAGGGAAAAATAATAAAAAAATACTAATGTGATTCTCTGTTTCTATGCCTTTTGTGATATGTATTTTTGCACCTTCAAACCTTCATTCATATCAAGCTGAAAATTACCACCTATAATCTCCTTCGTTATTAACGTGAAGTTAAATAGTGATAATACTAATTGTAACTACATAAACTTGTGTATGAAACTGAGGTTTCCCGGATTTCGAAGATAAAATCGCTGAAAAGTAATCTTTGCTGAGCTTTTTGTTCTTTTCCCTTTATTATTATATTCGACGGATTATAAACTTTTCCTTATTATTATTATTACTGTTTCCTTCAAGTGGAACAGAGAGCTTTAACGACACATCTCTACTTTGTCCTACTTTCTGCTATCTTCTTTATTTGGGCCCACAAATCTTCATAATCTTTCATCTTCTCCTCAAATTTGCACGATTTCCCCTCCATGTCACTATCGCACTGAGGACCCACTCGTCGTTTCCCACTGTGGTGCCTGCCACTCGAGCTATGGCCTGAGTTGCAAGCAAATGTCATTCAATGGTCACCTACGTGCTTTACCAACACGTAACTGGTACAAGAATGTCATCAATAACAAAGTCAATCCTGAAACACTCACTCTCCAACATCTCATATCATCAATCAGTGTCATGTTTTAAATCTTCGGGTTAACTAAAATGCATAAAAAAAAACGAATTAATTCAATGATAGAAATACCTTCTAGTGGTCATCTAAAGCATAAAACACTCACATACCAGGTTTTTCAGTTTCCACTGTAGACATTGTGTCTTTACTATGAAAAAAAAGGGAAAAAGAGAAAAGTAGGAAACAACATGATTGAGCAATGTTCAGATTTATAGAATTCAATGTATCAATGAACAAATAAATCTGTGAAAGAAATAACCGAAAAGTCTCATCTGTGCTTATCAAAGTTGAAGTACACAAGCAACAATGTAACTGTATACGTCAGATATTCAATAATACGAATACTCTACCAGCTAGCTATATGGAACAGTTCAGGTTGGATTCGCAGTCAACGAACTCTACAATTTTGCCTAGTTTAAAAGCTGACATGGCCTTGGTAACCTCACACACTCTAGGCGAGATGTAGGAGTTTGTCAACCAAGAATCCACTTTGGACCTCTAGTGAGCATTCTACCACTGGGACATCAGCTTATTTAAATGCATGAAATTCAGGCAGCACTTCACAGCTATTTTCGTCAGTTTACTAACTGAAATGCTGCATGGCAAAACACCCAAAGGGACACGAGACAGAAACGGAAGGTATCAGAAAAGCACTGCTAAAGAGTTCCAGACTAATGAATGATTCCGTCATGTGAATGTAGTAAGTATTAAAGCACATCTGAAGTGGTGATAACCAGCGGTGTCCGTCGTCATGGATGCCCACCGTCACCGTTTCTATTCAGTTTCATCATAGACGTACCCTAACTGGCTTCACTAACTAAGAGACTGACTTGTTACTGGGGGATTATCTGGTTAACTTAGAATATGCAAATGATATAGTTCTTCTAGGTGAGGATGCTGACGAAATTCAGTCTTCTGAACACCTTGAGCAGGGAGAAATCTTTGAATGATTGGCATGAGATTTGACCCCGTCAAATGTAAGATGATGAGGCTAAAGGACTGGACTATATCGACTCCTTATTTAAAGATAGACAGGAGTGAAGTGGCTGGTCGAGCGATTTGACAATTTCGCTCACTTCTTTGGGTGGGAAGTTGTATCAGCCAACGCTAACGGTTTGATCGCTGCATGACATAGTAGACGTCAAATCCAGATGGGTGGCTGTTTACAAAAGGATGTGTGTATTGCTCAGCAGTTCGCTCTGTCCTCCTCCCTTATGGATGTGACCGACTCATGGCCATTGGAATTGGAAGACTTGAGAACGCTGGCTAGCTGTCTTTGATCATAATTGTCTGCGTCCTATCTTCCATCTTAAGTGGAGTGGTACAATAGGGTGAGTAATACTGATGATGGGCTTCGGTCGAGTACTAGATAGGTGATAGGGGAAATCAGTCGACGAGGCTGTGAAGCTACATAGGACAAGTTAGGACAAGTGTTACGCATGGATCACCTTGCCTAGCCATCGATCGACTTCCTCGATAATGAGCAATATTAGCTGACATAGGATCGATCAGGCTGGAAAAGAGGTAGTGTTGGTGGTCAGACCAGAACATGGCTTCATCAGTCAGTGAAATCCATAACAGTTAGTTAAGGTCAGCTAGCCAGTCAGCCAGCCACATAGGGAGGTGTAGACTGGCTGGTTGGAGTCCTCAGGATGGTATGAATCAATGAAGGTTGGAGAAAATTATCGGTGATAGGGCTCAAAATCGTTGTCAATAGCTGGTACATTTATATTTGCTCTGCGTGATTTCTCATATTCAATAAAACTCTGTTGTTTTTCCATATAACTAACTCCCCTTTTTCACTCACTCACACTTCCGTTTATTATCTGTTTTTGGAATCTCTCCTTTCTTGCTTTGTGTGGTACATGTAGGGAGTGTGGAAACTCGAACTGATGTACATATCTGTGCAAAGTTCTACGTTGGAAACAGTCAGTTTGTTAGTCAGTCAGTCAGCACATTTGATTCAATTTACAAAGAAGTACAGCAGTTAAAGTTGCCACATAGTATAAAAAGGTAGAGAAAAGAGAGGAAAGAAATTCAGAAGAACCATAATAAGCAGAAACATATACGAGAAATAATAATTACATCAGGAAAACGTTAGAACTTAGTGGATCTCAGAGATGATAAAGACTGAATGTTCAAGTGTTGGTTTCTAGGGATTTGATTGGTTACAGGATTGCACCATGAGTTGACATTGGTTAGAGAACCATTGGAAAACTACCAGGGAGTACTGAACAGCCAGCTGTTTCGCCAGCCTAGTTTATGACTCTTCAGCGGTACGAACCCACCACAGAGGTTCGAACCCAGGACCTCCCGGTTACAAGGCTGGCGAGCTCGTAGACCATTTAGCCACTGGGACCCGATGTAATTGTCCATGATTTCTAACTTCTGCCAATTCACGACATAGCGCTACCACTAGCCAATGTCTTCGGCGAGTATTCGTCCTCACATCTGAAATCCTGCAACCTACTGGTCACGACTTTGCACTAGAAGCCCTGAATAAGGAAAGTCGCTAGTCAGCATCTCGTCGTGACCATTAGGGTGCAGCAGGTCGAGTGTGAGGACAAATACTCCCGAAGACATTGGCTAGCGGTCGCAGTATGTTGTGAATTGGCAGAAGTTAGAATTCATGGGCCACTGGATCGGGTCCCAGTGGCCTAATGGTCTACGAGATCGACTTGTTGCCAGAAGGTTCTGGGTTCGAACCCCGATGTGTGCGTACTGATGAAGGGTCACAAGTGGGGACGAAACAGCTGTCCAGTACTCTCTGGTGGTTTACCAAGGGTTCTCTAAACAATGTCAGCTCATGATGAAATTCTGTAAAAACGGTATGTATCTGCGATATCGAGAGAGATTTCGAGCCATATCCCAAATAGTCCCAGGCCACTAGGTGCCTAGCACCTCGAATAATAGAAGTAAAAGTTTTTCCACTTAATGATATAGAGTATATGAAGAGAACAACTAGAAGTTCCTGGACCTGAGTCTCGTACCTATCAGCACCCGCCAACTTGAGAGAGACTAATCTCTCTCTCAGCTCCCACTGCAAACTTTGTGATGATTCAAACTCATTTCATCGAGTTCTGTGATCAGAGGAATTACCACTCAACTATTGGGGTCCACAATTAGCCTCCTCAATATATATATATATATATATATATATATATATATATATATATATATTGATTAGTCACTGGGGTGTAACCTCAATAAAATAACAAATAAGATATCATAGTTTACAATGAATTCTTCTACTGACCTCTATTTGGCAAAGATTAAGTTAGATATGTCACAAAAAAAAGACAGAAAGAATTGATGAATACGATTAGACAAGTAGGCAAAACAAACATTCTATTGAGTAAATAAGACAGACAGTTCAAAATTATTGCTTTCTTATGCTTAAACCACTGCATTTTAATACAACACTCATAATAGTATAATTTGTCGAATATTTTCTGAGAAATGAATTTGTAAACATTAGTTCTTATAGGTACTGTTAAAACTCAAACTGTTAATGGCATGCATTATATGCCTGAAATGCCTTTCTTAAGGCTCCTTCATTGCAGTATAAAGATTTATGGAACAGTTATAAACTGCTGACAATAAGCTGATAATAACAGTGACTGGAATTTGTTTAAATAGATCTTGATTTGCCCGCGTTGATTGATTCTACGGAAATTTTCGACCTCTTTCGACAAGTTGGCTCTTAGAACTGACTGACTGACTGTTTTCAACGTAAAACTTTGCACCAATGTGTAGCAGTCCCAATCGCCACACTCCATCCACGTAGCACACAAAGTCAGAGAAGAATAAAGTGAAAAGAAATGCAAAATAGAGACAGTAAACGGAGATATGAGGCAAAAAGAATAGTAATATCGAAGAACCATATAGTTCTATTGGATATTATAAGTCAGCTATTGAGAACAATGAGTTTGAGCCACATCACCAACTGTCTCCAGCCTTCATTAGTCTGTTTTGGTACAGACATTTCAATGATATCTAGAAATTAACATGAAACAATTTGGTGGATGTTGACTAGCAGTGAAAGTATCCAAGAGGTGAATTTTGTCCTATTTGGGACTTGTCAGCTGAATGTACCTACAATCCTCTGTGAGGAAGTGATGATACTGTTACTAATGAAACTCGAACCTAGTACTCGTCGCTTTGATCGGGCATAACGGTACTATCACATTGGCTTATTTCGGGGAGACAACAGTTCAAGAGACACAATATGCGTGCCTTTTCAATTAGTTCAACATTATCGGATCTACACTAATATGTATAGTTTTTTTTACAAAAGAATGAATACTGAACAAAGAGTACTCTTTGCGATAACCCCATCATCATCAGGCTCTACATTTATACATACATTATAGTGAACGAATGAGTTAGTGTTATGAACAACATTAATGTTTAAATAACATCAAATCAATAATATTGATAAATTACACCTGAATCGCATCAACATAGCATAAGCTGAATGTCAGAAACATTAAGAAAGATAATAGTACAAATTCATGAGTTTATAGCTTCTACTGAAGGCCAGGGCAATAGTAGGGGCTGGAGTTGCTTCTTTTGGATACACAGAGTGCTGGTTGTTTGAGGCGAATCGCAATAGCCTCTGCTGTTTGGAGCCTGCGGTGCTTTGATGTTTTTGGTAATTTATTTGGCACCCGGTATAATAATATAGAGAAGGATTCATCTACGCTGGCTTTGTGTCCTGTTTGCACCAGATGTTCCAATATCGAGCTGTTAATAGTTTTCACTACACCTTTACTTAGCCATGCTGGGAGATGTTCTCGAGTGAGCACGAAAAATCAAGTTTCTAGAGCAACGGCCAATATAACTGGCTCCACAAGCGCATTTGAATTGATAGTGATATGCATCCATACATATATATATGTGTGTGTGTATGGTGATCTCTCTTTCTGTTTGCTCTCTTAGTCTGTGACCATTTCACTTGTATGAACCTGTCTCCTTTAACTATGTATATTCCCCTTATATTATATATAATATGAGTGTTTGTTGACAGTCCGTTGCTTGGTGACATATATCCATATATGGTGGTTGTTGACATGTCTGCTATATTTTGCTATGTATATTTGGATCGACACTCCATTATAATTAGCCATTCATGTTAAGACTGTCTAT